AATGTGTCCTTTTTATATAGAATCTCTTATGCAAATAAGGTGATAAAGTCTTGTGTCTGATTGGTGGCTGTTCAAGAAAACGTCAGAAATTAGTTCTGACCAATCAGAATACAAGAGTCCCAAACTCGCATTTTCTCATTGGTTAAAATGAAGCCGCACTCCTAACCAATGGGACATCTTCTTTTTCGCGCCCAATAAGGGTTATAAAAAAATGCAGTCGCTGCACTTTCGCTTTAGCAACTACCTATAAGGTTGTTGAGGTTAGGATGTCTGGACGAGGCAAGCAAGGCGGTAAAACTCGTGCCAAAGCTAAGACCCGCTCTTCGCGGGCTGGGCTCCAGTTCCCTGTGGGCCGAGTGCACCGCTTGCTCCGCAAAGGCAACTATGCCGAGCGGGTCGGGGCTGGCGCGCCGGTGTATCTGGCGGCGGTGCTGGAGTACCTGACGGCTGAGATCCTGGAGCTGGCAGGCAACGCGGCCCGGGACAACAAGAAGACGCGCATCATCCCGCGCCATTTGCAGCTGGCCATCCGCAACGATGAGGAGCTTAACAAACTGTTGGGCAAAGTCACTATCGCTCAGGGTGGTGTCCTGCCTAACATCCAGGCCGTGCTACTGCCCAAGAAGACTGAGAGCCACCACAAGGCCAAGGGCAAGTAGTGGCCTAGATTAACAGCAACTAGAATAAATCCAAACCAAAGGCTCTTTTCAGGGCCACCCACATTTTCTGGAAAAGAACTTAACATTCCTATTATGTCAGGTGGTGAAAAGAGATTCAATCGAAGTCTGAGTCACTCTTACCAAACCTCCGCTTTGTTGGATGTGTTTTTGTAGTGACTATACTCACCACTAGGACTATAAATGCGTCATAAATAGCAATTCGCATTACCGGTTTCTGAAATACATTAGTACAAATATATTTAATCTGGCTCGAATTTAACAGATGGTGCAGCAAAGAGCTGACCACGTAGGCAGCTCGCAAGAGCCCGCCGGCCACGGACGGTGTGAAGAAGCCGCACAGCTGCCGGCCCGGCACGGTGGCCCTGCGCGAGATACGCCGCTACCGCAAGTTCACGGACCTGCTGATCCGCAAACTGCTGTACCAGCGGCTGGTGAGCGAGATCGCGGAGGACTTAACGCCCTGCGCTTCCAGAGCTCGGCAGTGATAGCGCTGCAGGAGGCGTGCGAGGCCTACCTTGGAGGCTCTTCGAGGACACCAACCTGTGCGACATCCACGCCAAGCGACTTACCATCATGCCTAAAAATGTACACTCTACAGATCAATGGAGAGCTTCATGATAGGGTCATCTCCCCCACCCAAATGCTATCAGCCACATACACTTTAGCTAACAGCCCATGTGCTGCTAGGCATTTCTCTCACCATTCTTAATGTTGCTAAATTAAGTAAAATACTGGGATTGCATCTGTAGGTATTTCACCATTCTGGAGCCCGAGAAAGGTTTCTCGTATTTGGGATGTGCCGCAAACCTCAAGCGCTGTTACCTCAGGAGAATTTGACCAGGTGGTTATTCTAACAAACCTTTAATCAATCAAGACATTTAAGAAATTATTTCCCGTAACTATTGCCATTGAAACTTAAAGCTTTGCTAATCACAGTGTATTAAACTTTTGTCTTGTAGACCTAAAGTACTGATGGGGTAAGGAAAATAATGTAGAAGATTATAGTAGGATTGGACAAAAGGCTGTTTATTAGTAGTGGGGAAACACAGTGTGTTGCCGGGTTCCTGACAGAAGCCAAGGCCTCTCAGCAAAACTGACAGGGTTATCTATGGAAGAGTTATTTAATGTGACATTACAAGTAATTTTTGTTGCTATAACCAAATGCGGAATACCCCTGCCCATGGTTTTTATTGCCTATGTTGCAGAATCTAGCCGCCTATTCTCCACCTGCTGAACTCTTAACCTGATGTAATTTTTTAAAAATATGAACTTTGTGTGGTAAAATTTATGGGAACACTATTCAGAATAATGTTTTAAGTGTATAAACTGCAAAACTTGCAAAAAACTATTAGTTATCAAGGTATATTTCTAAAAGTAAATTTGATAGCGTGATGTATGTGCTTATACAGTACGTTAATTATGTAGTTAACGAATTACGTTATCCAATCTTTTGGTAAGCCTAAATGCCATCAGCAGGTAAGTATAAACCATGGTTTAGGTAACTTGCCCTTAGGAGAAAAGAAACTTCTGTGACTTCTGTTGGGTAACAAAGTAACAGGTACTGAGGTTTTTGGCCTAAATTCATAACAAAGTGAAATGCTAAAGTTCAGTGAAAGGTTAATTCAACTATATTTTTTCTCTACCTGGACCCATGGCTTCCCTCATCACTACTCCTACCCCCACCCCATCCATACCCTGCTGACTTTTATCCTCAGAGGTATTGTGGCATATATGGACCCCGGGTTAAAAACCTTTCCTGTAAAATTCGGTCAACCTACCCCAGTCTTTTTCAAGTTAATTTTAATTTTTCACTGAAACTGCCTTTTCCTATCTGGAATTTCTTTAGCACTTAAGTCTATTAATATCTCATAATTATTTATACCCTTTTATTATCTCTATTTTTGTACTTAAAATATAACTCCTTCCAATCCTAGTATAAATAAGACTTCTTGGAATAAAAACAAATGCTGACAGCAATATCTAACAGTGATAGACACTCAAGTGGCCCACCAAAAAATAGTAAAATACTCGAATTTTTCATAGAGTGTTTAGAAGCTATGTAACCCAAGTGATTTCATTCATTATTTAACTGTTCTGTCTTTAAATATGTCTTCCAACTGTAGGGAAAGAAAAATAATTTTTCCTCCACTCTTCTGAGTTTTTGGCTGAGAGCCTGTAAACAGATAGTTCAGGGGGGTCCCTGGAGGAGGAGAACCAGGAATGGTTTTCTTGACATAAGAGGAGCCATTTTGGCCTAAGCCTTTTTGTGATCTAAGCCTGGCCACAATGCTTGCCCTTGAACAGGTCTCAGAAATCAATGATCTTAAGGGAGTTAATGGAATGCAGGAACAAAGGAAAAACAGTCAAAAAACAGCAATAAAACTTGAGTCCTAGTTCCTCCTCAAGGAATATACATAGCAATCTGATACAGACTTGAGTTCTGGAGGAACTAAGGTCTCCACCCAGGTAGAAGATGAAATGATGATGTTGACTCTCACGACTTCAGTCAGCTAAAGCTTGGACTCTGCTGACCTTTGCCCCAAGTCTATTCTGAATTCTCCTGTGCTCTAGCCCCTTCATGAATATGCATATACCCTTACTTAAAACTTCCCCAATTTTGCTATTCAGGGAGACACTGCTTTAGGAAAGATCCCTGGTATTCTCCTTACTTGCTGCAAGTAATAAATCCTTCCTTTTCCCCATCTTTGGCTTGGTTGTGTCTTTTGATACAACACCTACCAAACCCAGTGTTCAAGTAACAAGTCCTGTAATAAAAGACAAATTCAGAAGAGAAAAGCAAGTTTATTAACATGTATACCTCATGTATACTCCCATGTGGGAGATACCCAGAGAAATATGAGTAACTCTCTGAGGTGCCTTAGAACTCCAGCCTAAATACGATCTTACGCTAAAGGGAAAAGTTGTGGGGAAGTCAGTTATGGGGAGGTTACTGGGGAACCAAGAGTAAATTTTGCTAGGCAGATATAGATTGATGACTTCTCCACTGATAAGGGTCTAAAGCTGTCTACTGGGATTAACCTGTGTCTTTCCTGGTCGCAAGGGGAGGAGGGACATCTTTGTATATCTGTGTTCTGCTTTTAGAGAAATGGAGGGAAAGCAAGATTTTCTTATGGTTGCTTCATCTCAAATGCCTCAGCTGGAAATAATCCTTATGCTACATGGTGTATTTTGCGGTGGCCTATTCTGCTAGCCCAAAGCACCAAATACTAATATTTTGTTGATGTATGGTATTAAGTCTGTATTAATAAAAAATCTGAATTCTGCATTGTATTTTTTAATGATAGAATATTTCTAATCAAAAGTTTAAAGCAAATTAAAACTCATTACAATACTTCTAAGGGTTTTTTGGTTTTTGTTTTTTTCTGGTAGGGCTATTCAAGGACACCAACCTGTGCGCCATCCACACCAAGCACGTCAAATCATGCCCAAGGACATCCAGTTACCCTACAGATCAACGGGTTATATAGATAAATCCAGGATGAATTCATCTTAAGATTCTTAATAATTACATCCACAAAGAACTTATTTCTAAATAAGGTGACATTCTGAGGATCCAGGTAGACGTGAATTTGGAGCTTGGGCTGAGGAACAGTATTCAACTCACTACAATGACCCTGGAAAAATTCTGAATAGATGGTATTTGAGCAGAGATTTGAATAAAATCAAATCAGGTAGTAAATTATGTTGCTCTTTTGTGGAAAGTATTCTAAGCAAAAAAGATAATGTGAATACCTGAAACAGTAGTGTATATGAAATGTTTAGGTTAAGATCAAAATTTTAAGAAAGTTAAAGATCAAGTTTAACATCAAGAATGTTTAAAGAAGATCAAGAGCAGAGAAAGCAAGGGTAGAGAGTGAGTTCAGAGATAGGCAGAGGTCAGATCATGTAGGGCTTTGACCCTGTAGAGTTTTATAAGCCATGCCATGAGTTTTTGTAAATCATTCTAAGAGTTTTGAACCGAAGAATGGCATAACCTCATTTACGTTTCTTCAAAAGTTCTCTAAGGTAACTATATGGTGAATACAAAGTTTAGAAGCAACAGTATAAATTAGGAAGCTATTGCAGTGGTCTTTTTGAGAGATACAGCAGTTTGGCCTAAATTGGAATAGACAATGCTTAGGTATAGACTATATTTCGCAAGTGTAGCCAATAAAGTTGCTGCTGGATTTGATGTGTACTGTGTAAGACAGGAAAAACATCCTTTTCCCTCTACCCTTCTGAATTCTTGACTGAGAGACTCCCTATAATAAAAGACAGGTTAACAAAAGAAAAATACCCAAAATTTTATTAACATGCATACCTCATGTATACATGAGACGTACTTAGGAAACAGGAGTAATCTCCTCAAGATAGCCCAAACCACCACTTTACATACCATCTTTAGCTAAAGACAGAAGAAAGAAAGTTGCATGGGGATGGGGTGGTGGGCACAGCAGAGAGAGGGTAGTTATCAGAAAAAAAGCTTGGTAAACAAAGGTAGGGTTTGTTGTGCAGATTCAAGTAGCTGCTTTCTCCCATAAGATTCTTTTGTGATTTAGAATCATCCTTCTTTTCCTTGTTTGGAGAGGGAGACACAAATGGAGCTTTCCTCTATAAATATTAAATGTCTTGAAGGAGTATAAAGCATACTAACTAACTGACTTTTCTGATGTGAAACTGTTTGCTGATTCATTCTTTATTGAGGGTAACTTTAACCCAGAGGTTTTGCTCCAGGAAGGAGATAACAGGCAGATATCTCAGAAGAATGGATAGACCCTCCTGAGTTCCTCCTGAAGATTCACTGAGGTTAAGAGAAATGTAACACCTTGTAAAACACCCTGATATCACCTTTTCTGTTCCATCCAATTTTTCTATAAAACCTCAAGACCAACCCCAAGATGGGCTCACAGTCTTTAAGACATTAGCCTGCTGTGACTCCCTTTGTCAGGCAAAGCAATAAAGCTGCTCTTTCTTTGCTCCCAACATTCTGCCTCCGAGTTTGAATTTGCTTTTTGGGGTGCAGAGGCTGATTTTTTTGGTAACAATCTCTCACAAAAAGATAACTTCTACTGTTTTCAGAGATTTTCCTGTGTATTCTGGTTCTCAAAAATTAGTTCAAGATAACCTTCATGACAAAGAGGCAATATGTGGTGACATATTCAGCTACCCTTCAACTATGAAAGCACATAAAGATAAAAAGAAAAAACTTTATTTGAACTAACTCTATCTTGACATTAAGTAAGTTATTGTGTAGAACCAGCTTGAATAGCATTGCATTTTAATAAAATAATATAGTGTATATTTATAGGAAAATAAACACCCTTGGCTGTCAATTTTAGAAATTATAAAGAATCTTTTCAGATTCAGACAAACTTTTCAGATATCCATCCATTGCTAACCTTATAATCACTAGTCATTATGCACAAACTCATGAAATCAGATAGGGAAGGAGGCTAGTACTTGATGGGAATTTTACTGATCTTTAAAGTAGAGAAGGGCCTGTAAAATATATTCCAGTTACTGATGTTAGGAAAATATAATTAAAAGAAAAGAAAAAAAAATATTGAATAAGTTTAATGTTTATTCAGGACAGAATGCTCAACACGGGAAATTTTCTAAAGAGATTGCAAAGAGAGAAAGAAACCTCACTCTTTTATATAGCTAAGTGGATACAACCCATTACATTAGGTAGGTTTTGCAATCTGAGGTCAGGAAACTGGGAAATAGAACACTTCCTTGATTACATTTCAAAGAGAGGACTCTAAGGTCCTTGAGGAAACATTGTTGAGTTAAGATGCTGACCCCACCCCCACCCCCCTGCTATTTCAGTCATTAAAAGAATTTACATACATTTGAAAGGGACAGAGAAAGAAATTCTGAAAGAGAAAAAAGGAATAGGAAAGGAACCCTCAGGGAGGATTAAGCCTCTTCATTTTCAATTTGTATTTGCCCTTAAATTAACTTGATGAATTAACCTATGCTAGCTATCTACCCCCTCAGTAAAACATACTGAATTTTGTTCCTGTTGATTGACTCAGTTTTGTTTTTGCAAAGGTTTTTACTTATCTTATGAAATTTACAGTTTATAGGAGTACTTTGAAAATACTGTAATGCGACCTTGCTAAAAGTAACTCTCATTGAAATAAAGGAAAAGAAAATCATTGAATAACAAGGGGATTACATGCTAATGCTGAAAGAAGTAATTACAATTTCTTACAATTTAAGCAATAGGAGAATTGTCCGTATATGCTTTAAAAATTAAGTATATACAACCAAGAATGTTTGAAATATATAATCATTCTTTTACCAAAGGCTGTCTTAGAAAAACAAGAGTATACTTTTCTCTGTATTTGAATTTCTTCTTTTTCACTAATGACAAATTAGTTCTTGTAATTAATGAAAGTTTAATTTTTTTAAAAAAACTATATATTACCTAGAAAACTATATATTACCTAGAAAAAAATCGACTGAAACATTTAAAGACCAAATTAGGTATTTTTCAGGTTAAGAGGACACCATATTTCAAAAATAACAAATTTATCCTAATAATTGTATAGATTTAATATAGTTTTTACTGAGAGTACTAAAAGAATTTCTTTGTTGCAACTAGATAAAATGATTTATTTTTCAAGAAGATGGTGATAATACTAGAAAGTATTTGAAAGAAATAATTATGAGGTAGGAATTCACTGCCAAATACTAAAATATTTTTCAACATTACAAATAATTAAAACCCTCCAGCACAACATAGACTGATCAGTAGGACAATAAAAACTCAAGTAATTTTCAATGAAATATTCAACATAAGATCAATTAAGTTCCTCAAATCAGTGGAGAAAATATTTAATATGTTATACTCATTAGCCGGCTGGTTAATTTTTAAAATGATAATTCTCTATGCAAGAACCCAAGTCTGGATTATTACAGAGTTAAATTTTTTAATACTTCAACCCATTATCAGTAAGATTATATGAATTGCTATTGAAAATGAAAATTGATACACACTTGGTGGAATTTAGCAATATAGCTGGAAGATCTTAAAATTCTCTATTTTATTAGCCCATCTGGTTCTAGCCCTAGGAAATTAGCATATTTCCCCCATATATTAAGGAGAAAAACTTCACAACTGGTAAAACCTCATGCAAATACTGTTCAAGAAAATACCTGCATATTGGTAGAGATACAAGCAGAATATTTTATTCTCTGTGCTATTTTATGTATCACCTACAATTTTAAAGTTCTGTTGTTTAATGAGGATGAGGAGCGAAACACACTAAACGAAAAAAGGGAAGCAAACTAGCTAGGTCATTAGCTAGGCCTTGAGGAATCCAAAAGAATTAACTAAAAGAGAACAAAAGGGAGCAGCATGGCCAGTTTGTTCCCTTTTCGGTCCCATCCCCCAACCCCAAGGTATTCCCGCCACAACTCTTTCAGTTTTCACTCCGGTCCGCGGAGGTTACTATTTAAAAAGGAGCTGCGACGACAGCCTGCATTTTTTTGTCTTTTGGCATCCTGAAGATGTCTGGACGCGGTAAGGGTGGAAAGGGCTTGGGTAAAGGGGGCGCCAAGCGCCACCGCAAAGTCTTGCGTGACAACATCCAGGGCATTACCAAGCCCGCTATCCGGCGTCTGGCCCGGCGCGGAGGTGTCAAGCGCATCTCCGGCCTTATCTACGAGGAGACTCGCGGGGTGCTGAAGGTGTTTCTGGAAAATGTGATCCGGGACGCCGTCACCTACACTGAGCACGCCAAGCGCAAGACTGTCACGGCGATGGACGTGGTCTACGCGCTCAAGCGCCAGGGACGCACCCTCTACGGCTTCGGCGGCTAAACGCTGGTCGTCTCGCTTCAGCAAAACCAAAGGCCCTTCTTAGGGCCACCTCTCCGTTCACTTGAAAGAGTTTAGCGCTTTGTTCAGTGTGGTACAGCTTCGGAAGCTAAAATGTATG